CGCTGACATTCAAGAAGGAACCAGAGGGTGAAGCTCACGTACTGGGTTGGTCCACTCTGGTTTGGAATGGTTAGTCTATAAGGTGCCGTTCTACTCTGCCTTCTACTTGACTTCAGACTAATACAGACAATGTTGTATCTCTACATCTTAATCCATCAGACCAACACAGCTAATTACCTCTCTCCACCCTTCTTAAGACTACCTCTCTCTGGAGACAGCTACTATTAATGAGTCACCCCATTCATCGTATTGCTCAAACTCCTCTGCCTGGGGAGGAGCTCTCAGTCATGGTAGCTGCTCCAGGGCAGTGCCAGAGTCTCGCCCTGGGGGCTCTGGGGTGAGAATTGCCTGGGTTGGGAGCACCTCTATTCTGGTTGGGTTGTGTGCTAGGTGGTTAGTTGGGGAATGGATGTCCTTTAGCTCTGGCTTCTGGTCTCTATGTGTTGGTGGAGTCTTCCTTTGGCAGAGGGGTGGGTGGAAAACGGACAGGTCTCTCCTGCCTGGTGAGCGGGGGTCAGGATAGGGCTCCAGGCTCACTTCCACTACTGCTTCCTCAGGGCAAAGCTGGACAGAGAAGTGTCTGCAGAAGAAGATTGGGGGAGCATTTGGCGGGTTATTGGGGTAACCCTAGAGCAAGGACAGCCCAGGGCAAAGTTATAGGAAACTCAGTCAATTCCTGGAAAAGAGATGGAAAAAACCTTGTGCAGATTTCAATATGTAGGACTCTAATAACTAAAAGTTGGCCGGTTTTCATAGAATCAGAGAACTGCAAGGGACCTTGAGGGTCATTAGGTCCAACTCTCTGCATGATTGCCAGTTGTAAATCATGCTGTCCGATACTTCTCCAGCCTCTCTTTCACTGAAATGTTTCCCAAGGGGCTTCCACAGCTTCTCTGAGCAGCAATTATATTGGTTTTCCATTCGAACAGCAAGGCAATTCTTCCTGACATCTAAGTCTACTCCGATGTAATGTGTAGCTATTGCTTTGTGTCCTGCCCTCTCGTAGATTTCATAGACATTCAGGCTGGAAGGGACCCCAAAGGATCACCGAGTCCAGCCCTGAAGGCAAAGGAGAACAGTTGTTCTTCCTTGTCTTTGTAGAAGTCTTTCTAAAGTTCAAAAACTTCTCATGTGTCTCCTTAATCTCCTTTTCTCAAAGCTAAACATGTCAAGTTCCCTCAACCCTTCCTCCTATGGATTGACTTCCAGCACCTTTATCATCTTAGCCACCCACCTCTCCAAATTCTCCACATTTTCCTTAAAATGTAGAGCCCAGAACTGCACACAATACTGAAGACGAGGCCTAACCAGGGCTTAGTGGAGTGGTACTATCATAGAAAACAGGACTTGTCCAATGCCTTTAGGTTTTCTGTAAGGCATCTAATTTAGTGCCATTTGACGTTTTGATTTAAAAATCAGCACTGTGCAGCATCCATAAAGGACACGCTAAAAATAATAAGTTGGCTGGCTGACAGTTCTCCAGAAGTATCTATCACCAGTGAACCTTCATCAAATAGGGGTGTTTCTAATAAGGCTCCACAGAGTTTGGTGCAGGCCTGATAGTCAATGTTCAGCTGAAGTGCAACATTCCCATGTCTGATCTGGACTTAAATATAAAATCACTGCTCATAAAACTTGCCGACCCTATAAAGTTTGTCAGAGTGGGTCTCAAGTTGCAGCAAGGAAGCTCTTTAATTGAGCAGAGAGGCAGAATAAGAGCCATAGCTGGAAAATGAAGCCAGGCACCTGCCTGCATTTCACCCAGGCTGAGCCATTGCTTCTGGCTTGTCCTTTTCTGAGCATCTGTGAGTGGCACAAAGCTTTGAAGATGGCCAGAGGAAAAAAAAGGCCATGCTAAAGCAATACCAGTCTGCTCTCATGCTTGCTAACAAAGACTCTCACCTGTAGAAATGACACAGAGGTGAAAATATGGTAACCCAGATGGGAATCCACTAATAAAGCTGCATTAACACTCCCCAGCAGGTGCCTGTCTGGGGCCACTGGGAACAGCTTGGGCTCCCAGGTGGTTACAGGGCCTTGGGGAGGATTGGCAGGGCTCAATATAAACTCAGCTGCCTGCTCAGATTCATACTCTGGTGTTGGACCTGCTCATCCCTCTGCTATGCAGCCAGCTCTTCCTTTGCCACTGGCTCCCAATCTGGGTGAATGGCCATGCACAGGTGACTGCCCCTGGCTGTATTGCTGCGGGGAGAAGGGCCTGGGTGAGTGTCACTTGCTGGGCAGAGGCAGTGGGATGTTTGAGATCTTTGGTAGTGCAAGATGTGCTGTCTGCTGCTGCGATTTGTAGCTACAGGTTGCTCCAGGACTTGATTTTTACAGGAGAGTGGTAGGAACGACAGAGCAAACCAGGTGCAGGGTCCTGCTAGCCCAGCCTCCTGCCTCGGTGTAGCCGGGGCGAGCTGCCTTGGAGGCAGTCTGCAGGGGGCAGTTATGTTGTAGCCTGCCCAGAGGTAAGTTTCTCCCCAAGTGCTGTTAGTTAGTGGTTGTCTCATGTCCTGAAACAGCCTGGACTCCTTCCAGGTGATTTTAACTCCATGCAGTGCTACCCGGCATGTTCCTCTCCTCCATAGAAAGCCATATCCTTTCTTCAGATCCTGGTAGACTCCCAGCACCAGACCTGGCTTGTGTGCGGGGCTGAGAAACTCTATATGTTACCATTGCAAGGCAGCTACAGTGGATGGAGGGGCATAATAGAGGTGGACTTAGCAAGGCTTTCACATAGTCCCACATGGCATTCTCATAACTAAACTGGAGAAAAATGGGCTTGATCAAAAAATTGTGCCTCTCTGATTTAGTTAGTCTATTAGGTGCAAATTTACCTTGGCTTCTGATTGATAAGATTTCTATTAGATGGATGCATCGTGAACTGAATAACTGCAAGCAAAGAGCCATCGTGAACGGATCAATGAGAGAACGGCAGGAAGTCTCAAAGGGGGGACCACAGAGGTCTGTTCTCGGCCCAATGCCAAGTACCATTTTCGCTAATGAATAGAGAGAGCTTCCCGATCCAACCTGCGCATGGCATCAAGCTGGTAGAGGCAGCAAACACTTTGGAGGGTAGAAGTCAGATTCAGTGGAAGGGGGATAAATTGCATAATGGGGCTATAAGCAGCACACTGAAATTCAGCAAAGACCAATGTCACTCTGGGAAGAGATGCTAGACGCACCCATACAGGACCAGATAGCTGCCTAGGCTGCAGCACTGCTGAGAAGGAACTGGGTGTTATAATGGCTTGTAAATGCAACACGAGAGCAGCGTGTTGCTGTCTCCAGAACAAGGTAAATGTAGTTCGGGGTTGCCTGGAGAGAAGCCTTATGAGCAGAGCACAGGAGATGAAAGTGCATCTCTGTCAAGTGCTCGCTAGTGATGTACAGTGTCCTGTTTTGGGCACCACGCTTTAGGAAAAGCGGAGAGAAACTGGAGGGGAACCAGAGGTGAGCAATAAAGATGATAAAGGGTATGAAAGGCAGCTGCATAAGGAAAGGAGGACAGGCTGGATATGTTTAGCATGGAGAAAAGGAGATAGAGTGATGGCAACTGGAGAATATTTGCAAGGCTACCCTGAACAGGAAGCACAGCTCTTCTCACTTGCCTCCCAAGGCAAGGTGTAAACTGCAGCAAAACAGATTTCGAGCATTTTTTAGGGGACAAACACTTCCCAGCTCCACGAACTGCAGGAGGATGGAACAAGCTGCCCAGGGAAATTGTGGTATCTCCCTTCTGGGAGGCTTTCAAGGAGAGGCTGGATGGGCACAGATGTGGGGTGGTTTGGGAACACTGTACCCCACATCCATGCAGGGAGATGCCCCTTGAGGTCCTATTCAGACCTAGGACTCTAGTGTTTTTATGAAGCTATTTTCCCTGCAGTTTTAACATGACTTCTTTTCAACTGAATCCACCTCCCCCTTGCTCTGATGTATTGCCAAAAGGAAAAGGTGCGTGCGGCCCTTTAACTGATCAAGCGTCCCACATGAGGACTTAGATGCATGTTTAAGAGGAGAGAGGAATGTGTGTTCCTCGCTTGCTGGGGCCTCGCACATCTATTCATTTCCCTGCTCTCTGGAAGTAAGGAATCTGCTATTGACAGAGTCCCAATGGCTCTGAAATACTGAGCCCGCTGCTGCCAAATCTCTATGAAGTTCAGTTCTCGGGAAGCCGGTCACTTTTAATTAATCGCCTTTCGGTCTATGTGGGCGCTGTAGGGCTTTTCTGCTCAGACAAGGATGGACCCCTGTGAGAAGAATAAATGCATCCAGGATATTCTTCAATATTCATCCCACTCTGTCTAAGGTGCAGGCTGAGAAGGTGCTAAGGGAATTCTTGTCCCTGAAAAGGAGATGTTTGTGAATGCATGTGCCCTGGTTTGTTTTCTTTCTATGCTTTTCTTTTTTTGGGGACTTTGGGAGTTAAAAGGTGAGGCATATAGCTCTCTATACAGTAGGGAAGCTTCATTCTTAGATCATATTTCTCTGTAAGGGCCTGATCCTGCTATGCACTGGGCATGTCTACACATTTAATTAATGCTATTTGGCTTACTGAACGATAAATTTAATGTGCAGTAGATTTACTACCTGCATATGCTGGTAGTAAATTTATTGTGTAGTAGACTAATTTACTGTCCAGTAAGCACCCGCACATGTAGACGGTGACACTTTACTGTGCAGTAGACTAGTCTACTGCACAGTAAAGCGTCTCATGTAGACGTGGCCATTGCAAACTTCCCTTCTAGTGCAAGAGCTGCTCAGTGCCTCTGGGTAGGCTCAGGATGTGGGGCTCCTTTGAAGACAGTTGTGTATCGGAGGAGTTAGCACCCAAGCATGCAGCAGATGGGTAATGACACTGTCAGGTTTCACGTGCTTGAGTCTGTGTGTCTGTCTGGTTCCCAGCGTGGGTTGCTGGCAGTTTGCTTTAACATGCTTGCTCTGGGTTTGTCTGCAGGGGGTGGGAGCTGTGCAAGGAGTGAACCGAACAACCCACCATGTCATTGCCCTTCAACGCCACAGCTGGAAACCCCTCCACCTTCATCCTGTGGGGCATCCCGGGCCTGGAGGACCTGCACATCTGGCTGGCTATTCCCTTCTGCTGCATGTACCTGGTGGCTGTGATGGGGAACTGCATTATCCTCTTAGTCATCAAGATGGAGCGGAGCCTGCATGAGCCCATGTACCTCTTCCTGTGCATGCTTTCGGTCACCGACCTGGTCCTGTCCTCCTCCACCCTGCCCAAGATGCTCAGCATCTTCTGGTTTGATGCCCGGGAGATTGATTTTGGTGCCTGCCTGACCCAGATGTTCTTCATTCACTCCTTCACAGCCATGGAATCTGGGTTCTTCGTGGCCATGGCCTATGACCGCTATGTGGCCATCTGCAACCCGCTGCGACACGCCACCATCCTCACCCATTCCCGTATAGCCAAGATCGGGTGCACAGTGGTGGTGAGGGGCATGGTGTTCTTCTCTCCCCACCCCTTCCTGGTGAGCAGACTCCCCTTCTGCAGGACCAACATCATCTCTCACAGCTATTGCGAGTTCATGGCATTGGTCAAGCTGGCCTGTGTGGATGTGGCTGTCACCAAGGAGTACAGCCTCACTGTGGCCTCACTCATCGGCTCCTTTGACATATTCTTCACCTCCCTTTCTTATGCCCTGATCCTCCAGACGGTCACTCGCCTGCCCTCCAAGGAGGCTAGTCTCAAGGCCTTCAGCACCTGTGGGTCCCACATCTGCGTCATCCTAGTCTTCTACAGCACGGCTGTCTTCACGTTTCTCACCCACCGCTTCGGCCACAATGTGGCCCCCCACATCCACATTCTCATTGCCAACGTGTACCTGCTGGTGCCCCCCATGCTGAACCCTGTGATCTATGGGGTACGGACCAAGAGGATCAGGGAGCGTGTGCTGCAGGTTTTGCACTGTGGCATCAAGTGACAGCAGCATCTGGTTGGGGCTGCTCTTTGCTGAGCGCCAGATGTTACCCCTAACATTCATCGCTGACTGAAGTCAAGCATTTATGCCTCTACACGGACTCTCAGCTGAATTTGATCCCTGCCCCCCAGTGTCCCCAGCTGTCATCGTTTCATAGATATTAGGGGCCAGAAGGGACCTTACAGATCATTGGGTCCAGCCCCCCTACACTTGGGCAGGAAAGACCGCTAGGATCAGATGACCCCACCAAGGTGGGCGTCAAGACACTTTTTGAAGATGGCCAGGGTGGATGACTGTACCACCTCTGGGGGGAACCTGTTCCAAACCCTCGGCACTTGACTTGTAAAGAAGTTTTTCCTTAAGTCTAGCCTGAAGCAATCTTCAATCAGTTTGTGCCCATTGTTTCTTGTCCTCCCCGGGGGTTCTTGGTGAACAGATGCTCCCCCAAGCCCTGATGTGTGCCCCTGATATACTTATAGGCTGCCACCAAGTCCCTGCTGAGTCTTCTCTTCTCCAGGCTGAACAGTCCCAAGTCTTTCAGCCTCTCCTCAACATCGGTGACATGGCACAGCTCTTGCGTTGCAGAACTAGTGGCAGTAGCAGTAAGTCATAGAAGGCTACGATCCACCAGAGGCCCCTTAAATATTTCTCAGTCATGAAAGAAAGTGTTATTCAGTGGTTTTTGCCCAGCAAGGCAGGACAATCACCTTGCGAGGGAAAACTGGAAGTGGACAGGGTCAGTATGAGCTGGCTATCAGAGCAAGGGGCTGGCAGCCAGGCTCTGGGAGGTCTCTTCCAGCTCTAGCACTGACTCACTTCTAGGCCTAGGGTAAGTCACATCATGCCCATCCCAAAGATTCAGGTTGTTTCTTTGTATCTGTAGTAAATTGTTTGACAGGCTTGCAGTGATATGCCATTCGGGGTCTGATTGTCACCCAGATGGATGGAGGGGGAAGAGGAAGGGTGAGAATAAACTACATCTTTATGCATTAACACGTGCTCAGGTGTTATTTGCTATATATAATTTGCTATATAAGATACTGAGATAACGGGACTTTAATTTTCTTAAACCTAGGCACAACTTTTGCCAAGACAGAAATGAGGTTTTCCAGGCCTCTGCTGCATCTTTC